AATTCTACAAAAGGAGCACTATTAAAGATCATTTATGTACGAGAACGTGATCTGCTGTGACGGGGAGAGTAGCGTGGAGATCCTCTGCTTCGTCTCGGGGAATAACTGCGACTTCTGCTGTTGCTTCGGCTACGGCTTCTGCTACGACTACGGCTGCGAGAACGAGATCTTCCGTAACTCGGACTTCTTGGGCCATCAACTTTAACACGGATGTAGGCAGTTTCTCCCTATCAAATAGACACAACTTTCGATTGAAAGGTCTAAGCTTTTAAGCAGTCTTTGCAGGTATACTGAAGATTTTTTTTACAAGAAAAATTGCATTACTTCTCCATATATTACTTTTTAAGCATGATGCCCAACTAGCCCTTTCTACATTTTTAATACTATAAACAGAAAAGTTGCACTTCCTTACCTTCAGTTTTACTGCATCCAAATGCAACCCTCTGTATCCAATTCTTGCCAAAATATTAAGTGGAAAACCTACCTCATGAGATCTAAACTTAGTGTTATCCAGTTTTCGCACTGCGTAGGTCATATCTTCTTTCCGAACAAACTCCACGACACCAGTTCCATCTCGGAAAACATCAGCATAACATACATCACCTGCTTCACGCATGTGATCCTTTAAATCCTGCCAGCTTCCACTGGGAGGCAGTCCTGAACAAGAGACAGGTTATCAGTTATTGCTAGTGAAATGGAAGCCTTCCCCAACTTAGTCATGTGCAGACTTGAAATTATTTACTCCATGTATTAATCATAGTTTTAGAAGATGCCTATGTTCTTTCAAATTATGTATGAATTGTTTAGAAAATAACAGCCAGACAATGGAACCTATGTTACATGCTTTTATGACGCTGGAAGGATATTCACTTATTAATTATAAAATAGTCTGACCTCTTTCTATATTTGAACAAGCATTCAATTATTCATATGTCATTCGTTCAACTGAAGAACTATTAAGAAATTGACATATTTTAGCTTATATGTTTAATATCTCCCTACTGTTAAGTAACTTGACTCAAAAATAACGTATGTAACATACTCTCTTGGATTAAAATTGACTAAAAGTTACATATTTTGAGTCTTTTCCTGCTTCTTTTTTTGCATTTAGTTAAAAAAACTAATTGGATTATGGTAATACATGCTACTTAAGCACTGCTTTGAAGAGTCTACAGAAACTGTGACTGGTCAGAATGCAGATGTCTGTTTGCTTATAGGATTACGTTATACTTATCCTGTACAAATGTACTGGTTACCACTTTGTTTCTCAATTCAGTTTAAAGTATGGGTGCATATCCTTAAAACCTAAAGGAGTTTGGCACAAAATATTTCACACACCTCCTCCAATACCAACTTTTCTATCTCCAAAATCTGGTGGTCAAACCATTTTTTAATTTTCCAACTAAAGTGCAGCCAAAAGCTGGAAGGAACAAGGCAAAGGCCTTTCTCACTGGTTGCCTTTAAGTTGTAGAATTCTTTGGTCCAGAAAATTAGCATAGCCCTCTAACTGTACGCTTTTTGTGAGATGGGCAGCCATATAAATGTGACTAATAAATAAATCTACCTTGTCTAGATAGGCAGTTGATTCAGTATAATTAAAAATTATACAATGTTCTTGAATTATCTGCAGTATCTGCACATTATGCTTTCTTCTTTCATAAATTAATTTTATTATTACTTTTCATTATTAGCAGTCTTAAAGGGTATGCATGCAACAGAAACAGGAATATAAGCTTTAAATGTTATCAACTCAACACGATGCTGTATGCTTCAGAACAAATAACCATACTGGCAAAGCATATTTATGTTATTTAAAGTATGCTGGCTTGTATCTATTAAACCAGGAGATCTAATATTTCGGGGGGAAATGAGGAACAATGCAATTTAATAATTTTTAGATTAGAAAACTAAGATTTTCAAGATGCCAAATCATGTACTAATTAGATAACCAGAAAACAGTTAAAAGGTAGCTTAAGTATACTCCATCAACAATTTTATTCAATTATTAACTAGTCAAATCATTTTTAAAGCTGAAACTGAACAAATTTGTTTAATCCCAAGGGGCAGAAACTTACCTGATACTATCACTCTATATTCAGAGCGTCTTGATGGGGGTCCATATCTGCCCCTTGGGGCCCCACCACCTCCACCGCCGCCTCCTCCTCTGCCAGTGCCCCGACCACTTCGAGGAAACTCCACCCGTAGACGGTACCCATCATAATCATATCCATCCCGTCCATACACTGCATCTTCTGCATCCCTGCAAGAATAGAAACAGAAAACCACATTCAGCTTAGATCCAAGGTTCATGAAAGACAGCTGCATCACAGGCCCTGCAGGAATGTATTACAAACAGGAAGTTAGCCTTTGTCTTCAGTCTATAAGACTTTGTCCCAACAGCATTACAAGTACATGCATTCTTTCTGTAAATAAGTTAAGCAACAAAGCTTTTTCCACTCCTGACTCTACCAGATAATGCATTGCTTTTCAGTGTATGTGTAAAAAGCAATGGTGTTTGTTTAAACAGGGAAGCAAAAAAGAATAACAGACAGAACAACCTTATGGGTAATTAGAATTTTTAGATTCCAAGAGGGGAAAAAAATTGGAACACATATATCTTGGGAAGCAGAGGCTGGAATTACAATATTACCTGCATGGTAAAACTGTGAATATAGAAGCCTACTATTCTCCATTTTCTCTCTTACTATTTTTCATTTCTCTCTTCTGAATGTTCATTAATTGAAAGAAAAAAAAGGCCTTTTAATTTGTAAAAAAAAAAAAAAGCCTATATATTTATCAAAATTTCAGTATAAAATCTGGCTTTAATAGCAACCACAAATCTACATACACTTACATGGGGAAATTCACTGCCAAATAATAAATTTGTATAAAGCATAAACACTGACACTTAACATTAAGAACACAGCAACAGCAGTGAAATTTAATAGATGCTTTTTAAAAAATTACAAAAGGTAGAATAGTAGCAAAGGAGAACAAATCTGTCAACTTCTGTGGAAATTTCTGTAACCACAGCTTTTCTTAGGCAAATTCCCCTTTTTCTATTCAACTATAGAAACGGAGCTCTGCCCTCCTCAGAACAAACAGTAAGGCAGTACCCCTTAAAAAATAGGCCCAACATTCAACATATTTATTTTATACCTATTCCAAACCTAGCAGTGTAGCTTTCACTCTCAACTACAAAATGAAGTACTTTAAAGTGGCCTAAAATGAATGAAATTAACATTCCCAAAACGTGGTGGATTCCACCTCACCCTGCATAGGCCAGAGGTCAACATTTCTGGATTTGGTCCCTCTCTCTCAATTTTTTGCAAGAACGATCCTGCAAAGTATGACCCGTTATGCCACAATGGCTGCAGAGGAGAAACAATCTGCACAAGAGCCCTCCAAGGCAGAGCTCCCGAATGGCACCCACTACCTGCAGGGCTTCATGGCCGCAAGAAAGATGTTTGACATATTTTTTCCCCATTAAGGCTGCAACCAACCTCCCACCTCCCCATATCCTATCCTGACCATACCACCCACCAGTCCAGCCCTCCTCGGGACAACGGCCAGGCACGACTGGGGTCCAAAGGCACCCAGAAAACGGCAGCAGGCTGCACGTGCGCGGGGAAGGAGACTTCAACGCTTCGGACTGCAACCCTTTCGGCCAAAAGCAAGGCCTCCGGAGAGCAACCAGCTGCTCCAGCCGCTGACACCACCCCGGGAGTCTAGCAGCCTCTTCCCAGCCCGTCATTATGGACGTACAGGGTTCATCATAGGCCCGGAACCGTTGAAAGCCTGATTCCCTATGACGATGAACTGCAGCGCGTTATCATTACTCCAAGTGTCGTTTTATTCCATGTTATTACAACACGGCGCACAACCAACAGAACGGCTCTACCGCGACCGTCTGGCTCGTCCTGCCCTTTCCGTCACCTCGACCGTCCGACACGTGCAAGGCGAGGATGATGGGAGCTGGAGTAGCAGACGCAGGGTTTGGGCCGGCCGGCCGGCCGGGCCTAGAGAAGCTGCCGCTCCATCAGGGCGCCGTTCTCCGCCACCCCGGGCGTTTTCCACGCGCCCGCCCGCCCCGCCACTGACCTGGGGTCCTCAAACTCGACGAAGGCGAACGGCGGCCCCCCGCGGCGGTTCTTCAGATCGATGTCCCGAATGGCTCCGTACTTGTAAAACACGTCCTCGATGTCCTTGGTGCGGATGTCCGGCGGCAGGTTGCCCACGTAGATGCGGCAGTCGTTGTTCCCGGCCGGGCCGCGGATCACGCCGCCACCAGACATGGCGAGGTCAGCAATGGCTGCGGTTGGTTGGTCGGTGTGTGTGAGAAGAGGCGGAGGAGGCGAGCGGGAAGAAGCCCGAGGAGCAGCGGGGGAGGAAAAGAGGAATTAAGAAGAAAATAAATCTGCAACGATTTAATCCAACCAAGGAAAGAGAGGGAGAGAAAGGAAGAAAGCGGGCGAGGCCAACGGGCAGCGACAGGAGCAGCGCCGACTCCTCCCGCTTTGACTCTCTCAGCTGCCACAAAATGGCGGACCTCTCACGCGCTCTACTTGCCCTGCGCAAGGATCCTTCCGCGCCGTGACGTCACACTCCCGAGTGGGGAAGCGGAGGCGAGCGCTGCCTTCCCGCCCTTCGCCAGCGCATGCGCGGTTCACCTGCTTTTTTTTCCCAAAAAAAGGGCCTTTTCCAAAGTTGTTATTATCAAACAGCTTATGGGGCGCCGTTCGACGTTTGTCAACGTTAGATGAGGCGATTTTAATTTACTTTTTTCACCTTTATCTTAAAGAAAACAGCAGAGCTTCAAATAGGCCTCACGGCTGAGGAAGACTTCCGTTAGTTTCTAACGCCGCGAACCGTTAAAAGTCCGCGCGAAGAAGATCCGGCTAATAAGGAGGAGTTGCACAAAGGAGGGAGGGTTATCCCACAATGCATCACGCGAAGGGCTTGCCTTGGCGCCAAAGAGATGAATGCTCCCACAATGCATAGCGAGGAAAGAGGGCAGCCAATGGGCTTGAGGTCAGGCGGCGACTGAAAACAAAAATTAAGAATGAGGCTCGGTGCACGCACTACCGGGATTTTTTAAAATAAATGCCCTCAATGTTGGGAGGACTTGTGCAATTCGATAACGTGTGCACGGGGGAAACACGTGTTTATATTCACCGTGGTCACCGAGAGCGCCCCGTTGCGGAAGGAGAGCCTGCAATTCCCGGATGTTGTAGGAATGCCCCAAATCCCTAGAACAGCGTTTCTCAACCTTGGCAACTTGAAGACGGGTGGAGTTGCTGGCTGGGGAATTCTGGGAGTTGAAGTCCACCCGTCTTCAAGCTGCCAAGGCTGAGAGAGACTGGCCTAGAATGTTGCTTGGCTGGCATTTATTGTGCATGCTTCAGTGTGGGCTGTCTGGATTTGCCATCTTGTTGATTTATTCCACTGCGTTTTTCTTTAATGTATTTTAATTTGCTTTCTTTAGGTTGGGGGCTGTCCCGAGTTGGGCGGTGCTGAAATTGAATCGAATAAATAAACTCAAGCCTTGTCATCTCATGATCCAGCACCGACTTCCCTCCAGTTGTTTGGACATAACCCCTGGGCGGCTGGTGGTTGGCTGTGCTAGCTGAGGATAATAAGCATCCAGATTGGTTTTGTCAGATGGATTATGTGCCATCAGGTCATTGTCAACTCCTAGCAATCACAGACAGATTTTCTCCAGGATGATCTGCCCCTTACTTGGTCCTTCAGGTCTTCCAAAAGTGCCCCACTGCAACTGAGTCCCTCCACTTTGATGCTGGTCATCCTCTTCTTCTCTTTTCTTCCACCTTTCCCAGCATGAGAGCCTTTTCCAGAGAGCTGAGTCTTCACATTGATTGATTGATTATATGCCATCAAGTCAGTGTTGATTCTTAACAACTACGCAGATAGATTTTCTCCAGGAGGATCTGTCCCCATCCACCTTGCTGCTGGTCATCCTCTTCTCTTTCCTTCCACCTTTCCCAGCATCAGAGCCTTTTCCAGAGAGCTGAGTCTTTGCATAATGTATCCGAAGTAGAATAATTTGAGCCTGGCCGTTTGTGCCTCCAGAGAGAACTCTGGCTTGATTTGTTGGATGATCCATCAGTTTGTTTTCTTGGCTGTCCACAGTCTTCTCAGGAGTCTTCTCCAACACCCAAAGTTCAAAGGCATCAAGGCTCTTCCTATTCTGCCTCTTCAAAATCCAACTTTTGCTTCCATAGAGCATTACAGGGAATACCGTGGCTTCTATCAGACTTGGGAAGCTGGAATGAGAAACAGTGCTGGAGCAACTGTTTGCAGTGAGGGTGCCGGATCAATTTGTGCTGCAAATCTGCATCCTGCTTTTCAAAAGCAGTGCACCACTTCCAAGACAAAATAATTATTTGCATCCTTGCCACTTTAAGCTTTTAAAATTTATAGTATTTGTCATTCTGTATCAGAAGCTTGCTTTTATTTATTTATTTCTATTTATATAGCCGTCCATCTTAAATGCTTGACTCCGGGTGGCTTACAACAATTAAAAGCAATGCAGAAAATAAAATGCAATATAAAAGCATATAAAAAGCATATAAAACCATGTAAAAAAGACCATGTCACATAATCTGCAAAAAGCAAAGCACAAAAACATACTCGAAAGCAAAGTGAATGTGAACATGAAAACAATTCTGCTGGATCACACAAAGCCCATCTAGCCAGCTTTCTATCTCACATGGTGGCCCACTGGATGCATCTAGGAAGCCCGCAAATAGGAGGCCAAAGTAGACCTCCTGTCTCACTGTTGCTCCTGTGGATTTAATACATAGGATGGAGTGCCCTATGCCTGGAAGCAGCACCCATTCATTCAGGCTAGTAGCCACAGAGAAACACATCCTCTAAGAATTTGTCTTGCCCCCTTTTGAACTAGTGGCCAACTTCATATCTTGGGGATGATTATACACTGCATGATGAAAGATTTCTTCTATTAGCCAGCTTCAGTTCTAATAGTATTATGGAAGATGAAGGAAAAACTCCTGCTTATCCTTTCTTTACCATGCATGATGTTATAAACTTCAATCATATATCCTCATAAGTGTATTTTCTAAGATAAATAGCCCCAGGTTTTGCATCCTGTCCTCATATGGAAGTTCCCAAGCATCTTGGTTGCCCTCTTTTGTACCTTCTCCAGCTTCACAGCATTCTTCTGGAGTTGTGGTGACCAGAACTATGCACAGTAATTTAGATGCAGCCACACCATGGAATTGTATAGGGGCATTATAATATCAGCCTATTTATTGCCTATCTCTTTTCAAATGACCCCTGGCATGGAATTTGCTTTCTTTACAGCTGCTGCACATTGCATAGATAATTTTATTGAACTATCTACAATGACCCAAGATCTCTTAGTTAGCAACTGACAGTTCAATCCCCATCATTTTATACATGAAGCATAAAACATTTATCATCAATGTTATCTCCACACTGAATTGTGTTTGTCATTTAATGGCCCAGTCACCAAGTTTAGAGAGATCCTTTTACAAGTTTTCACAGTCCAGTTCTGTCTCCACTACCTGAAATATTTTTGTGTCATCTGCAAATTTTGCCAAATTTTACCTCAGTGGATATGCCTGACTCTAAATCATTTTTGAATAGGCGGAGTGGAGGTCCCTTACTATCATCCTCCATTGTGAAAACTGGCCCCTTCTTCCTACTTTCAGTTTTCTGTTGTTCACCAGTCCACCAGAGAACCTCTCCTGCAATCCCATAACTGATAATCTTACTCAAGAGTGTTTTATTCAAAACTTTATCAAAAGCTTTTTTGGAAGTTCAAATATCAGGGTCAGCAGGGTCACCTTCATCCACATGCTTGTTGACACTTTCCAATAATTTATTTATTTAAAAAAAATTATATACCGTAGCTGCCCATCTTAACCCTGGGTGGTTTATAAACAATAATGAAACAATAAAAAGCATTAAAAAACAGTATAAAAACTCCTGAGTCCCCCAAAAGCAACACACCCCTCACATCCAACAAACAGCTTTTCTGGGCTCCAGACTCACCCTACCCCAATGCTTGTGGGAAAAGCCAGGTCTTCAAGGCTTTTCAGAAGACTAGGAGGGTGGTGAAGGTGCTGGATCTCAGGGGGAAGGGTGTTCCAAAGGGCCTACCAAGAAGGCCCACTGCCTAGGTCCCACTAGATAGCAACCTTTAAAGGAAGGGACCTGGAGCACACCCACCCTATCAGACCTGGGTGAGCGAGCAGATACCCTCAGGGCGAGGTGGTCCTGCAACTTCAGCAGATGAGATGATGCCTACTTTTACAGACACCATGTTGACTTTCCCTCAGCAAAGCATGCTGTTCTACGTGCCTCACAAATTTATCTTTGTTTATATTTTCTGCCAGTTTATCACTGATTATATTTTCTGCCACTTTGCCCAGACCAGACATTAAGCTTATGCCCAGTTAGAACAAAATAAGGAGGAAACCTGACAAACCTTAGGAAGCGAGAAAATAAATATGTAAGAAATTATCATGGAGCAAGGCTGGGAAGGAATAATCTTGCATTTGTGGTGCTCAGAGTGACTGAAAACTAACTGCTATTACATTCCCAGATCCAGTGAATTTTCAACAACAGAGCAAGATATAACAGGAAGAAAATTGCCAGGGAATTGAATCTACGGTGAATCAGAAAAGGATTCAGAGAAATTGGAACACGTTCAAAAAAGGGCAATAATGATCAGTGGACTAGAAACTAAGTTCTCTGAAGAGAGATTGAAGCAGCTAAACATATTTAGTCTTGAGAAGATAGGAAGAGGAGAGAGAGAATATTATACGCCACTCAAATACATGAAATATGTCACATGGAAGAAGGTCAAAACCTCTCCTTCCTTTGTTCCAGAATGCAGGACATGGAATAATGGACCAAAGTTACAGGAAAGGAGATTTTGATTTAATATTAAGGGGGGAAAATGCTAATATTGGATGCGTTCCAATGGATGTGTTCCAATGGAGACTAGACAGCCATCTGGAGGGGTGTTTTAATTTGGATTCCTGCAAATCGAATGCATTCAGAAATTTCCCAAGGATGAACAGGACAGCAATTGTCCTTTCTGCCGTTCTCCCCAGACCAGTATTTCTCAATCTTAGCAACTTTAAGATATGTGGACTTCAATTCCCAGAATTCCCCAGCCAGCCATGCTGCTGGCCAGGGAATTCTGGGAGTTGAAGTCCACATATCTTAAAGTTGCTAAGGTTGAGAAACATTGTCCCAGACAGTGGTATTGAATAGGACAACGTAGAGATCCAGATTCAAAGGCAAAATGTGATTCAGAACACACATGAGCATACATGTAACACTTACTGCGGACTTCTTAAACCTAATGTTAGTTGTGGAGGACAGCTGTTTTAAGGCATTCCCAGTAGGTGATACATTTCCACCCCTACATGTTCTAAATCAGTGTTTTTTAAACTTGGCAACTTTAAGATGCATGGACTTCAACTCCCAGAATTCCCCAACCAGTATGTTTTTATGAATTCATATATCTCTGCCTGCAATCAGATACCTGAT